GGGGGGGGGGTCTGGCATGTGAGGGCGATGAGTCATAAGTAGAGACCAGAAACTCTGGAGTCCTGGCCTTCTCCAGCTACCACTGGTGACTTTGTCACAAGCTCCTGGGACCCAGGTGTCCTGAGCTCAATCTTCTTCCGGTTTCTTCCATCCCTAGGGTCCAGTGAAGCAGACGAGAATGAATTCCAGGACGTTGGAGATGAAGACAAGTCGCCTAGTCCGGAACCGAACCCTGCAAAGGATGATGATTTGGGAAGAGGAGACTTGCCCTCCAACAAGGTGACAGTTGGCACAGCCAATCAAGATAGAGGAGTAGGGAGAGCACTGGCCCTGGACTCTAAGGAAGGTGGTGCTAAAATTCTGCAGCCCAATCAGAGGCCCCTTTTCCTGGTGGGTGGAACCTGTTGTGATTGTGCTGGCAGAGGCTCTGTGTGTGCCCATGTACAATCTAGGGAATTTGAATTGATATGAGCTCATTAAAATCCAGCCCACCGAAAGGCAGCGAGCTTTGGGGAGGGTGAAACCGTGATGGGGCCAGTTGGCACTCACTTTGGTATTGATGAAAGTGAGGTAAATGGTTTCGGCCGGCGGTGTGCCACAATGGTTAGCGCATTGGCCTATGCGCGGAAGGGTCGCGAGTTCGATTGCCGGTCGAGGGCATCTTCCTGGGTTGTAGGTCTGATCCCCTGCCCCAATCGGGGCGCGTGCGGAAGGCAACCGATGGAATGTGTCTCTCACATCGATATTTCTCTCTCTCCTCCCCCCTCCCTTCCACTCTCTCTCTAAAAAAAAAAAAAAATCAATAGAAAAAAAATACATATATATATATCCTCCCTTGAGGATTAACAACCACGACAAAATAGTTTCAGTTGGGAAGATCCGGGCCGTATTGTTATGTAGATTGAATCGACACTAGTTTCAGCTGAATGGGGCGCGTACGGGAATTGTCCAATCAGTGGGCGTGGCTGCGGAGGATGCCGGCCAATCAACAATGGTTGTGGCTTTGCTGGGTGGGACCCTTAAAAGGATTGACCAGTAGGTGGCCGAGATGTTTGACCAATAGGCAGAGTACATGGTCGAGCGTGGGCGTAACCCTGGGCTGGGATGGCCAATCACTCTTCTACTAGCTGGGGTAGGGGGGTGGCCTGGGCCTGGGCTGTCCCTGAACTTGAATTTGGCTTGTGGGCCAGGGAGAAGACCCGGAAGAAAATAAAGAGGAATCGGAGTCCACAGTGAGGAACTTAGAAGGCGAGGCCGGCGAGAAGGTGCCCGAGGCCTTGGAAAGCGAGGGCGGCGCGGTCTTAAGCAATGTGGGGAGCTCGCCCCTCTCGTCTCTCCTCGCTCCAGGCCCTCAGCTCGGCGAGGACATGGAAGCATATGTGCTGCGACCAGCGGTGCGAGGCTGTACGGTGCAGTGTTGCATCAGCCGCGACAAGCGTGGCGTAGACAAGGGCATGTTCCCTTTCTACTATCTCTACCTGGAAGCGGTCAATGGCCATGGCCGGAAGGTGCTGTCTGGCAGCCTCGGGAGCAAGCCTCCACCTCTCAGGGGTTTGACTTTCACGAATCCAGACCTTGCTCATCACTGAGCTAGGACCTGTCAACTCCAACTCCAAAACTTCACTGAAATAAGCTCCTTAGGGCCCGATTCCAAAGCCCCTACCCATCCCACAGCCAAGGCCTGCCCACTATGGAGACGAGTCCGTCTTTCTCAAAGTCAGGCCACGCACTATCAGGGTCCAAAACTCCACCCCTTACATACCCTGTAGAGCCCATCTTTGTAGGTCCAAGTCTGGCCACTTCACTGAGGCGCCTTTGCTGTAAGGCCCCACCCAATCTCTCTCAGAAAGGGGCTTTTTCCTATTCAGAGCCAGCTGTACTTTTCCAAGATGAAACACCTTCTCAAGTCCTGTTGCAATGTTCAAAGTGAGGCTCTTTACTATTCTCCAAAGCCAGGCCCTGCCTGCTAGTCAGGTTCTCTCCTGCCTAGGCTCTGCCTAAACGCTGGACCCAATGGCAGCAGGGCTGAAGGGGGTACATTAAGATATGAAGCTCCCCTTTAGGACCCAGCTGATGACTTTCTTCAGTGAGAACCGCATCTCCCAGCAAGCCTTGGGATGCTTATTTCCCCATTACCCCTTCCTCTGTCCTACCGGCACAGTGTTTCCTTGTCTTTGGACCCCTAGCCCTAGCCAAATACCAGAAATAGAATCTGATGGGCTCTTCTCACATCCACAGCACTTCCTTCTCGCCGGGCGCAAGAGAAAAATGAGCACAACCTCTAATTACCTCATCTCCCTGGACCCCACAGACCTGTCTCGGGATGGGGACAACTTTGTGGGCAAAGTCAGGTAGGCAGACTGCTGATGTGTGTAAGAATCAAATGGCAGATGACAGGATGCCTGGGGAACGGAGGGGAGAGTTGAACTACGTTTCCCAACAGGCCATAGAGCACAAGTTCTACCTGCTCTAGGACCTTTTCTCTTAGTGATTGGTGGGCTCTGAAGTTCTTCAGGTGGTAACCCCAGGGTGGTTGGAAAGAGAACGGAAGGTTTTGGAGCACAGGCTGGCATTTAAGGCATTTGACTTCTTGGAAGGGCAAGGGGCTGGGACTCCTATGTTCCTAAGTAGAAGAGGGCTGGGATGTGTGAGTTCTTGTGTCCTGGAGGAAAGAGGGTTCCTAAAGGGCAGAGGCAGGAAACAAAATCCTGGCTCACAGGGCTGGGACTGCAGATACATGGAAATGAGTCTTATGTAGAGGCTTGATGGAAAGAGTTGATGAGACGACACTGGAAAGCGGTTAATATACAATATAATGGTAACAATTATTATTTTATTCTGGCCATGGCCTTCCCGGAGTAGATCTAATGTCTTGGGCACCAAGTTCACCATCTTCGACAATGGGGTGAATCCTGAAAAAAAGTATTTCATCCCAGAGAGTGCTCGGATCAGGGAGGAGCTGGGCATTGTGTGTTATGTAAGTATCGGAGAGACTAGAGAGTGAATAGAGCAGGATGGTGGGGAGGGAGAGAGAGCCAGGCCAACTGGAGCATAATACCCACAGGAGACCAATGTCTTGGGATTCCGAGGGCCCCGGAAAATGACTGTGATCATTCCAGGAATTGATGATCAGAACCGGAGAATCAGCATCCAGCCACAAAATGTGAGTTGGCTAAGGTTGAGAATCTCTGGGTCAATAGGGGAGGAAGGACTAGGGTGCAGGCCCGAGGTTCTAAGGGAGGAGGGGCCCATGGTTGCACAAGGTCACATGTGAAGCCGGGAGGGTTTTGTCAGACTTACGGGTCTCAGCGAGGAGAGGTTAGGAACTCAAAATTCTGTGTCTGGAAAAGGCTAGTTTGTGGTAGGTTAACCACGCCCCCTGCTTTACCCTTAGGAACAGGAGTCGCTCAGGAGCCGCCTCCAGCGGGGGGCCGGCCAGGGGCTGGTCCTGCTGCAAAACAAAGCCCCGTCGTGGAGCTACGAGACGGGCGCCTACGTGCTCAATTTTCATGGTCGAGTCACTCAGGCCTCGGTCAAGAACTTCCAGATCGTGTATCCGGATGACCGTGAGCTCCTAGGAACCGGGCTAGTAGGGTGTGGTGCTGGTGGTGGGCACGAGGACACGCACGTACACACACGCACGCACGCACAAACGGACAAGAACTACTTCCCTCAACAGCACTCGAGCGCTTTTCTCAGCAGGGCCCACGCCACGCTGTTGCAAAGCCTCTTGGGAATTGTAGTTCACACGGCCCTCAGAGGGTTTTCAGGCGCCTCACAGCCTCAGTTTTCTCAGCTCATAGGCCTGGGGCAGGGGACCGAGTCTGACAGGACCTGGTCCCTAACTTCCTCCTCAGCGGATTACTTGGTGCTTCAGTTTGGCCGCGTGGCCCCAGACATGTTCACCATGGACTTCTGCTTCCCGCTTTGCCCACTCCAAGCCTTCGCTATCTGCTTGTCCAGTTTCGATGGCAAACTGGCGTGTGAGTAATCTAATAAAATGTAATACTCTCTACAGCTCCTGTGCCTACTCATTTGGAGAAAGGGCTCCAGCATGCCTTCTTTTGCACCACCTTACTAATAACCAACACTTAATAGATGCCTCCTGGGTCCTAGGGAGTGGGCTGTTGAGCCGCACCTGGCACCTGCTCTGTTGAGACTCAGTGGATCATGGGAGATGGGTCTTAAACAACAAAATCAAAGCACCCCTCTGCTATGGAGAAAAGCACATGGAGGCACAAGTCAGCTGGGTCAGAGCAAGGCATCTCTAAAAAAAGTGTTTTTGTATTACACCTGAAGAATCACCAGGAACTAGCTGAGCCAGGGGTCAGGGACTGGAACATCAGACAGCAGGCAGAGTTCACACTAAGGTCTTAAGGTGGAAGAGGACTTGGTTGGTCTGGGAAAATGATAGAGTGGTAGGAGCCTAGGGAACCAATGCAGGAGGGGCAGGGTATGAGGCTGGACAGATCTTATCAAGTCAGAAGAAAATTCTAAGCTGGAGACATAAACTTGGATGGGTGATTGAAGACATGCATGGGTGAGAGTAATTATAATACTCACTAATGTGTTAATTGACAAGCATTATTTTAAACATGAACTCCTTTGGGGCCTTATAATCCCTTAAGGTATATGCAGCTGTTAGCCATATTTTACAGATAAGGAAATGGAGTCAATGGCCACAGGGCTTGTAAATGCAAAATCAGGCTGTTGAAAACCTTGAGGAACTCACCTTGTAAAGGCCAGTAGGAGGATGAGTCTTTATATTTCAGGGAGATACAGAAAAGTGGAGATTAACCCTTTTTTAGAGATCAGTGAGTCTAGCTCCAAGCCCCCTTGGGAAAATAAATGTCCCAAGCTTAATAAAATTTAGGTGGAAGCCAAAGAAAAACTAGAAAACCCACCAGCCTTTTGTTCAAAAGAAGCCTCAGGAAGAGAAGAGACAAATTTGAGAGATGATGGGAAATGTAGTTAATCCTTTACTAAGGCACTTTCCTCTTTGCTATTCCCAACTACCTCCAGGACCCAGAAATAGTAGATACTGTCAGTTCAGATATACACACACGGTGACATTGCTCAGTACAAATCAAAAGACTTTATTTCTTAAACCAACTGGTAAAAATAAATAAATAGTAACACAAACCCCACCGGGTCCTAGCCACGCCTCCCACTGAGGTCTAGGCAGGGAGAGACAGACACGTAAAGTGGGGAGGGAGCAGCCACAGCATGGCTCAAGGGCATGGCCTGCACAGAGGATGCGGGCAAGGTCTGGGTAGTGGCAGCTGGAGCAGCCAGAGAAGCGGGGGGAGGGTTCCCGAGGCGTGCCCAGGCCCTGGCCCGTGCTGCAGGGGTGAGGCAGGGGCCTAGCTTCTCCTGAGCCTGGGCAATTCGGCGGGCAAATCTGCTTCGATCCCGGGCAAACTGTTCCCAGGGGCCCCGGCGGGCAGCCTGGGCAGGTCCAGCCCAGACAACGAGGAAATGGATGGAGACCTTCTCAGAGAAGCGCACCTGGAGACAGACCGGCACAGACATGGGGAGGCAAAGACATACAGGCACAAGACACACACAGCCACAGGAGTGGGGAGGTGGAAACAAAAATTACACAAAAATGCTTGGCATCTGTCTAGTCACCTGCCCGCCAACGTTCTGCATCTGACTCACTGAAGGTAGAGGTGGTTCTCGGCTTCCTCCTCCCAGGGGCCCAGCCTCTTGCAAAGGATTGCATTACAATGAACACAGCTCACCCAGCGGAATTCACATGCAACCCTCGGTAACACACAGGGGACCCAGCAGTCCCTTCTCCCTAACACTCAAGAATCTNGAGAGAACCAAACAAAAATTACACAAAAATGCTTGGCATCTGTCTAGTCACCTGCCCGCCAACGTTCTGCATCTGACTCACTGAAGGTAGAGGTGGTTCTCGGCTTCCTCCTCCCAGGGGCCCAGCCTCTTGCAAAGGATTGCATTACAATGAACACAGCTCACCCAGCGGAATTCACATGCAACCCTCGGTAACACACAGGGGACCCAGCAGTCCCTTCTCCCTAACACTCAAGAATCTGAAGTGTGCTCTCCCTCCCGGGAGCATGCCCACGCCTAGGCATGCATCTCCGAAACTCTAAAAGTCCCTAAGAAACTTGCAATCAGGGGAGCACTGGGCAGCTACAGCTCATTCTGGGCTAACCCCTGAACCTGTCTCCAAGGTTTCCTTTTCTCTGACTTCCCAATCAACCAAAGCAGCCCCGCCAAGGCTCTCTCTGGTTTCTTCTTCTATCCCAAGCCCCTCCTTGTTTTACTGTCCCCAGTTTAAAAAAAAGAAAAAAGAAAATATGAGCCCTCAGCACCCACCTTTCTGGCCTTTTGGGGAGTCTCGGGATCCAGATGCTGGGTGGGGGTTTCTGCAGACTTGAGCCGCCTTTGCAGTCGGAGGGGCAGCCGAGGAAGAGCCCAGGGAAGTGGTGGCTTCTCTCCTGGTAAATAGATGGCCACTCGGAAGGGCTCAGCTTCTCCCCACTCCTCAGCAGCATCTCCTCCCTCTGTCTCCTTCCCAGGTGGGTATGTCCAGCCCCTGAAGGCACTCTGGGCCCAAAGGGAAGAACTTGCCCCCGAGCCAGCTGTTCCCCAATCATCACTATCCTCCTCCTCCTCCTCGGAGTCCTCTCCTGGTCGGTGCACCCAGGCCCTCAAGAAGGCATTTGTAGGGGGTATGGCAGAGGGTCCCTCAGCTTCTCCCTCCTCCCCAGCTGTTCCTGAATCATCACTGTCCTCCTCGGAGTCCTCTCCTGGTCGGTGCACCCAGGACCTCAAGAAGGCACTTGTCGGGGGGAAGGAAAAGGGTCCCTCAGCTTCTCCCTCTTCCCCAGCTGTTCCCGAATCATCACTGTCCTCCTCGGAGTCCTCTCCTGGTTGGTGCACCCAGGCCCTCAAGAAGGCACTTGTGGGGGGGATGGCAAAGGGACCCTCAGCTTCTCCCTCCTCCCCAGCTGTTCCTGAATCATCACTGTCCTCCTCGGAGTCCTCTCCTGGTCGGTGCACCCAGGACCTCAAGAAGGCACTTGTCGGGGGGAAGGAAAAGGGTCCCTCAGCTTCTCCCTCTTCCCCAGCTGTTCCCGAATCATCACTGTCCTCCTCGGAGTCCTCTCCTGGTTGGTGCACCCAGGCCCTCAAGAAGGCACTTGTGGGGGGGATGGCAAAGGGACCCTCAGCTTCTCCCTCCTCCCCAGCTGTTCCTGAATCATCACTGTCCTCCTCGGAGTCCTCTCCTGGTCGGTGCACCCAGGACCTCAAGAAGGCACTTGTGGGGGGGATGGCAGAGGGACCCTCAGCTTCTCCCTCCTCCCCAGCTGTTCCCCAATCACTGTCTTCCTCGGAGTCCTCTGTGTCCTCTCCTGGCAGACACACCCAGGCCTTTATGAAAGCACTTGTGGAGGTGGTGGCAGACGGACCCTCAGCTTCCACTGACACGCTGTCTTCACCCTCCTCTTCCTCATCTTCCACTGGGATCTTATTGGGCTGGTGCTGCCAGGTCCCATGCAGGGGCCTGGGGCCTAGAACTGAGGCATGTGGCTCTGGGTCAGCACCTCCATGCGCCTCCTCAGGGCCCTGTCCTGAGTAACATTCCCACACGCCAGGGTGGGAGCCTACAGGTGAAGGGGAAGTGGAGGTCTTCCTGGTTTCTTTCTTCTCTGTTCTTTCTTCCTCCTTGGCTTGAGCCTCTTCCTCCCCTGAGCAATACACCCAGGCTCTGGGCCTGGATCCTGGAGATGAGGGGGAAGCAGGTGTTCTGGGAACTTGATTTACAGCTTCTCCACCCTCCCCCTCCAGCCCTGGACAACATTCCCAGTGGGATGGAGGAACAGTGAAGAACATGATGGCTTTATCTTCAGCAACTCCTGCGTCCTCAGATCCCTTCTCCCCAGGAGCATCTGGCAGGGTTCTCGGAAGGCTGGGGGACCAGGGAGCAGACTGGCCACCAAATAGCAACATGGGGATGCTGGCTGCTTCTTTCCCACCCTGCTCGTCATCATTTTTGTCTGAAAGGCCCCAGGCTTCAGGAAGAGAACTGTTGGCTTTTAGGTCAGGGCAGGTCCCCCAGGATGACTGTCCATCCTCCATGGCTGTTCCACTGTCTCCAGGCTCCCCCCGAGGGTGCCCGCCCCAGGGGGGATAGTAGGTGGCCAAAGCTGCCTTCATTTCTCCCTCTGGGCCAGCTTCTCCCTGATCTGCACTCATCACTGCTTCCACCAGCCAGGGCTTTGGAGGTCCTGGGCCCCGCAGCCGGCTCCATGCCCGGCTGAGAAAGCCCATCAGTGGGGACAGAAGGAAGAAGGAGTGGGCATCCCTCCAGGGGAACTGATGGGGTACCTGGCTTGGGGCCATCTGTCTGGGCTGGGAAAAAGGAGATAAGAAGCCATTTAGGAAATAGCATCAGATGACCCTGAGTCAGCAACGGAAATACTAATACAAATAGCAACATGAGTGTCCCTGCCAACATTCCTTTCTGATCTCAGCCCCTCCCATCTCTGGCCCTTGGTTTCTACCTCTCTCTTATTTCAATACAAAGGAGTCTGGGGTCCCCATTCTCTCCTTCCTGAGACCCAAAAGTCCAAGTCCCCCAGCCCCATCTTCCCTCAGACCCACAGGTCCCAGTCCCAAGTAGGGAGAGCACAAAGGTCCTCTACTTGCTCCCCTGTGGATAAAGTCCTAGTCCTTGATTTTTTCATCCTCCCGAGGACTGACAAATCAGGCCCCCAACACCCTCCTCCCTTGGAGACTCAAAAATTCAGCCCCCTCTCCTCTATAATACTCTCAACAATAAAGATTAAAAAAAAAAAAAAACAAAAAAAAACGGCCACAAAAGGCACAGAGGCACACACAGAGGGAAGATGGCCGCCTGACGATGGAGGCAGAGATTGGGGTGGTGGCCAAATTCAAGGAATTCAAAGAGCTGACAGCAAGCACCAGGAACTTGGAGGAGGCAAGTAAGAATTCTGCCTTAGAGCCTTCAGAGGGAGCGTGGGCCTGCTGATGCCTTGATTTCGGACCTCTAGCCTCTAGAACTGAGGCTAAATTTCTGTTGTTTTAAGACAAAAAAACATCTGACTCCCCCCGCAACCCCGATGGTTCCTCACTGGGGACCGAGCCTGGCTCCTAGACCTTTCCTCCGTCAGGGTCAGCACTCCAAGTTCCCAACCCCTCTACTTAAGTCGGAGCCCTGGCGCCTGTCCCGGTCCCACCCCTCCCCAGACTCAGTAATTCAGGCTCCCAGGCCCTCTTCCTCAGGGCCCAGGAGTCCAGACCCCGAACTTTCCGGTCTCCTTACCCAGAAGTCCAAGCTCCCTCCTCATTAACGACCAAAAGTCTGATCCCTAGCCCCCAACCCAAGGAGACCCAAGCGTTCCCATCCGACACTTACCGGCTGGGGGCTACGCCTCACCCCGGGGGCAAAAGGGCCGGCTGGGGCTGCCACAAGCAATCGCAGATCCGGAGGGCTCGAGAGGCCGGCGCTTTCATCTCGCCCTCGGGCGTCGGGCTCGGTGCTCAGATGACCACCGGTAGCTGCAAGCGCTGTCGCGACAAAAGGGCCCAGGTCCAGCAGACTGGCACACCAAATAGACAACTGAGCTGCGACCTAATCCAATAAGCGCTGACGCCCAGGGCAAGGCCTTTTATAGTCTAACGCTGCGACGCAACTCGCTTACGTCCCCAGGAGAGGCGGAGCTTCCAAACGGAAACCTGACAAACAGGAAGGGAAAATAAGGTTGGGGCTCTCGCGGGCATTCCGGGCTTTGTGACGTCAGGCGGCGTTCTGAGCGTGGGCGCGCCCTGGGCGGAGCCAGCTGTCTATCAACCGTTGTCAGGCCTCCGGCGGCGAGGTTGCCGTCTGAGCCTCGTTGGCCGCTTCCTGCCCCTACAGCGCAGTAAAAGCTCGGAAAATTCCCCCACGGGTGGGAGAGGGAAACGGAGCGCGCGGAAGGGGAGTTTGCAGCCACCTAGTAAATCCTATCTTCCCTAAACCAGGGACACTTCAGAGTAAATGCTTTGCCTTGCTCCTCCGCAGCCGGAGGGTAGCTAGCTTAAACCACCCTACTCTGGGAGACTGGCAACAGAAAGCCAATTAGTGCTATCTGCCAACCCCACCCAAGGACAAAATGGAGAGAATAAACTTCATTTTGGTACATCAGCGTAAAACTGCTGAATATCCTATTGCTCCGCCCCTGAGACCTCCCCTAAGATTTCCCGCCAGCAAGAAAGGGATAAATACACTCTGGACAAAGGGCCCACAGAGGCCCTCCCCGCCGCCCCCAGCGCCATCTCCTCCCCTCTGAAGGGACCCCACCAGACTTGCAATCAGGGGAGCAATGGGCAGCGGCAGCTGGTCCTGGGCTTCCCCCCGAACCTGTCTCCAAGGTCCTCTTCTCTCTCTGACTTCTCAGTGCGCCAGAGCAGCCCAGCCTAGACTTTCCTATTGCTGCTTCTGTGCCCTTGCTTGTTTCATTGTCCTAAGTAAATTTTTGCTGCTGCCAATGCCAATAAATTCTTGCTTTCTTTTCTACACTTTGTCTCTTGATTGAAATCTTGCCCTCAAGAAGACAAGAACCGAGGTGTCCTCCTCATCTCCCCGGTAACACTACTCCAATTTAACCAGCAAGCCCCAGTCTAGAGTCTCCCACCTTCATGTTTGTCAGGCTTCCTCCCCGATGTAGGCAAGTATTGTTTTTATTTCACTGATGAGGAAACTGAGGCTTGGGAATGAAGTCATCTGCCCAAGATGGTCACAGCAGAGTGTAGATTTATTGCAAATGGAAACAAGAATGTAAGTACCCCAAAGGCAGGCCATTTGCTTTGCTCACTGCTTTCTTCCCAGTGCCTAGCGCACAGTAGGTAATCAAGCAATATTTAGTGAGTAGATATGAAACCAAAAGCTCAGACCCCTCCCTGGTTTCATGCACCAACAAGGCTCCACGCCTGCATTTTACCCACTTCAAAATCACCCAGGAGCTCTGATTACACAAACTGAAATTCTGGTTGGGTGGCATGAACTGAACCTCATTGGAGCAGGGGTCTCCTACTAAAAGCTCCAGGCCCAGGGACACAGTTGCAATTCCCCTGCCTGATCCCCCTACCTGGTCCATAATTTTGCTCCTCAAAATATGCCCAGGAACCACGTTTCCCTCCTGAGGGGGTCAGCCTCAACCTAGAGCCGAATTCTCACCTGGATCTGAGGTGGAAATCTGATCCTATCAATTTCACCCCGCTCTAGCCAGAATCCAGGAATCCAGAGCCACTCCCTCCTCCCTGGAGGATCTGGACCCATCCACACAGAGCCACACTTCCTGACCCCAGGCTCCATTCACAGCTCAGGAGTCCTGACTCCTAGCTCACACCTTTCCAGATACCCAGGGGTCTGAAACTCCACCACTTCCCAGATCCAAGCTATCTCCATTCAGGGTGCCAGTGACTCAGGCTCCTAACCCCAACCAGTCCAAGGGGACCCTGGAGTCAAGGCCCAGCTTCTACTCTCCAAACATTTAGGCCCATCAGCCTCAGCTCTTATGGGACCCTGGCTCTCCAGGCTCCAGCTCAGCAGGGACCCAGGAGTCAGGGGGGGCCCCAGCTCCTCCCCTCAGCTGTGGGGGCAGCTGAGCCAGGGGTCAGGCTGTGGTGGGGAGGCCAAAATGGGCGGGGTCAGCCGGGATTGGGAGGGGAGACAGCAGCGTGGGCGGCTGGCAGAGGGAGGGAAAGACCAGCAGAGGGAAAGAAACTGGGAGAGGGAGGGAGAGAGAAAGTGAAAAGGAGAATCCCCGAGAGAAGGAAACTGCAGAAGTGGAGGGCCACAGAGAGAAAGAGGAAGCGATTGAGTGTGAGGGAGAGAGAGACAGGGCTAGGGAGAGAGGGAGAGAGGGAGAGAGCCAGAGAGAGAGGGGTGGGGGGGGAGACTTAAGGAAGAGACTGTAAGTCAGAGAGGAAAAGATTTGGACAGAAACAGAAAGCTTGGGAGAGAAAGTGATATGGGTGTGTGTGAGGGAGAGAGAGAGAAAATGAGTGAGAGAGAGACTGGGAGAGACGGAGATTAGAGAGGGAAAGAGACAGCAGGTGAGCCGGAGACAGAGACAGTCTGAAAGAAAGGGAGAGTGTGAGAGGAAGAGAGACCATAAGAGAGAGACCAAAAGAGTGCGAGTGAGCAGATAGGTGAGACTGAAGCCTCTGAGAGGCAGCACCTGACAGGCGGAGGGCGGCTGTGGCTGGGTGCCCCAACAGTCCTCTTGCCCCCTGTCCTTGGGACCCCAGAGCTGGTAAGTTCCCTGGTTGGGCTGAAAGGGACTCCTCGGGTGCGCATTCCTGGCGCCCCAGGGCTTGGCGGGGATGTTTTGGGGTGTGTGTGGGAGGGCGGGAGACTAGTAGCTGGAGGAAGCCGGAAAGAGGCAGGGAATGGGGGGTCCCTAAGCACAGAGAGGGTCAAATTCTTGGCCATTGTGCAGGGGGCAAGAATAAAGGAGCCCCTATTCTCTGTCTTGGGCTCTAGACAGCTGCCCCCTCCCCGCAGCTGCCAGTGCCGCCCACCTCTCTTGGCATCACTCTTGTATTCGGTCCCAGGCCAGGGCCTCGCCCAGCCCCCCAGTTCCCAAACAACAGGCTCTTTTTCTTCAGCCTCCCCCGACCTGCGAGTCCCTGACCTCGGCACTGTCCCGGGCCCGGTCAGCTGTAGAGACACACACAGTCCCTTTCTTTCTCTTCCCAAGCCCTTGATGGAGGAGGGCAGGCCTCGGAGCAGCCTCAGCCTGGCCAGCAGCGCCTCTACCATCTCCTCGCTCAGCAGCTTGAGCACCAAGGTGGGAGCTTCGTGGTGGGGCTCGGGAGGAGGGAGGGCTCTGGGCTGCCCCATCCCCCTGTTTCCTAGCCCTGGGTTTGGTGCCACCTCAGGGACTCCGGTTGTTAAGAGCAAAGATCCTTAGCAACGGGGTCTGCCAGACCTAGTTAGGTCCCAAATTGCCCACTAGCTGCAGCTAGGAATTCAGAGGCACTTCCAGCTGTCCCCACCCCTTGTATTTTCCTGATTCAAAGCCAGTGTAACAACCGGATTGACTCTGGTTGCTAAGATAAGGCCACTCCCAGCCATGAGCCCCACCCCCAGGAACTCAGGAGCACTGGCTACTCTTCATTAGGACTGAGCACTCCCTGTCCAATCTCTAGCCATCCAATCTACCCGGTACTGAAATTCAACAAGGAAAGACCTTTCTCTGACAATAAGGTGCCACGAGACCCAAGATACTTGCATCTCAAATCGTTTACTTTTCTTCCTGCCATTTCCCTCATTCATGTCCAATTTCGAAAGTTCAGGATCCATAGATTCGGATCTGACCTTGGTCAGCACCATCCCTAAGAGCATCCTGTGAGAATGTGGCTATGGATGCCTGAGACCCTGTATGCACCGGAAAGGGACTCTGTCTATTGGGATGGAGTGATTGGGAGCCCCCCTCTACCCAGACATGGTTGCTAAGGGATGTCTCTCCCTGGCACTCAAGTGTCCTTTGATTCTGGCTGACCCATCACCAGGGACTCAACATGGAGGCCTCCTGATTATGGGGACTTCCAAGGCAATATTTTCAGTTCAGATCTCAAAGGTTGTCCCACATCTCTGGCTCTGGTGGCCAAGGGCATCCTCTCCTTGGCAGCGGACGCTTCATTCCAAAATTCCTTCCCCATCGGCCAGTAGCCTCTTCCTTGCCTCTGAACACCTCCCTCCACACGTGAAGTGTCTCTCAGCTCTGCACTATGCACACCCATGCTAATCTCACTCAGCTCCCTCCTTTACCTGGTTTCCAGGGGCAGCCAGGTGGGGAGGCTGCCTGCATCCCACTGCACTGCCTCCCCAAGCCCATCTGGAGGCCCTGTTCACTTCTGTCCTTGTTTCCTCAGAAGCCCACCCGAGCAGTAAGCAAGGTGCACGCCTTCGGAAAGAGAGGCAATGCGCTCAGAAGGGATCCCAACCTCCCAGTGCACATCAGAGGCTGGCTGCATAAGCAGGTGGAGTGAGTGGGAGATGGGGAAAGACCCTCCTAGTGACACTAGAGGCTGTGCCCCTGGCTGTCCACTATCTCTCTCCTTCCAGGTCTCCACATTGGTTTTGCTTTTGCTATCACTGCTTCTCCCTGTTCTGTCTCTGCCTCATTCATCCATTCATTCATTCAATGACAACTTCTTGGACATTACAATGTGCCAGGCCCTGGGTCATATACCATGCAAACAGGACAAGTATCTATAGTCCATTCAAGAGGGGGTAGGGCCAGGATGGATAACAAATGAGTATATAAGTAAATGGAAGAAATGAAATAATATATTACATGTTGTATATAATATATAAAGAAAATATGTGAAATCAATGATTTCAGATTGTAGGAATTTGTGAAATGAAGTGCTGTGAAGAACTAACATGGGGATGTTCTCAAAAGTGGCTGAGGGCCCGGCCGGCATGGCTCAGCAGTTGAACATGGACCTGTGAACCAGGAGGTATCAGTTGGATTCCTGGTCAGGGCACATGCCCAGTAGGGGGTGTGCAGGAGGCAGCCGATCAGTGACTCTCATCATTGATGTTTCTCTCTCTCTCCCTCCCTCCCTCTCTTTGAAATCAATAAATACATAGATATATATATTTAAAGTGGCTGAGGGATGAAAGCTACCTTTGTCTGTTGGTCAGGGATGGTGGAATGTGTCTCCAAGGGGATGACATTTGAGCTGAGAACTGAATGACAGGAAGGAGCCCATCATGCTAAGATCTGGGGGGCAGAGGGAATCTGAAAGCAAAAGGCTCTGCAGCAGGCCAAAGCTTCATGTTTGGAACAAGGCAAGGGGACAGATAGGGCAGCGGTTCTCAAAGTGTGGTCCCAGACTAGCAGCATCAGCATCACCTGGGAACTTGCTAGATAGGGGAGTTGTCAAGCCCTACTCTAGACCCACTGCCTTGGGACTGGACCCAGGAATCAGGTTTTAACAAGCCCTCCTGGTGAGTCTATGCATGCCCAAGTTTGAGATCCCCTGTAAGCCAGTAAACTAGGGTAAGGAATTTGTGATTTATTCTAAGTGTGATAGTAAGCTCTGTTTTGAGCAGGGGAGTCACATGATCTGATTTATTTTAAAAGATTCTACTGCTTCTGTGGGAAGGGATCAAAGAGAAGAGGAGCACAAGGTTGGTGATGGAGTAGTTCTGGTGGAAGGGATGGGGAGATGTGGCATTCGGGTTACAACTCAGTGCCACCTTCCTGGCCTGTGTCTCGGGCTGCAGAACAATCAAATATATACAGCCTCAGCCCACGTGTGGCCTGTATCTGTTCCAACCTTCCGGTATCTTCTCGTATCTCCAGTTGACAGGTGAAAACACCTGAAGGTCCTAGTGGGAAAATGATTTGTTTGTTTAAGGGCACAGTTTGAATGTGGTGGACCTGCCCAGCTGGGCGTGGCTCGGCGGTTGAGCCTCGACCTAGGATCCAGGCAATCAGTGTTCTATTCCCGGTCAGGGCATATACCCGGGTTGCGGGCTGCGGGCTGCAGCCGATCAATGACTCTCTCATCATTGATGTTTCTGTCTCTCTCTCTCCCTCTCCTTTCCTCTCTCTGAAGTCAATAAAAATATATTAAAAAAAAAAAAAAAAAAAAGTGGTGGACCTGGGAGTCTAACTCAGGTCTGACTGTGTCCAGAATCTTATGTCCTCTCAACCACATTGCCTTCCAGTTCTCCATCTGAATCTATTGCATGCATCAAACGTGTTTCTGTCCTCTCCTGTCTCTGGGTCTTTGTCCCTAAATGTCACTGTCTCCATCTCCTTTTTTTCTCTCCGGTGCACTCATGCCTCTGCCCCCTACTCTCTCCGCAGGACAGCTCCGGGCTCCGGCTCTGGAAACGCCGCTGGTTCGTCCTCTCTGGCCATTGCCTTTTCTATTACAAGGGTCAGTGCTTCAGCGGGCAGCGGGTGGTGGGCGCCCCTCCCGCCCTCCCTGTCGTCTGGCCTCCGGGCCTTCAGATCTCTGTGTGACCCCTGACCCCAGCCCCTCCTTTGCAGACAGTCGTGAGGAGAGCGTCCTGGGCAGCGTTCTGCTCCCCAGCTACAGTATCAGGCCAGATGGGCCGGGAGCCCCCCGAGGGCGGCGCTTCACCTTCAGCGTGAGTCCCTCCATCTTCCTGTGGGCGCGGAGGCGCTGGGCGGTGCGGGCTGGCACCGGGGCGTCCGTTGTTGTAGACAAACGGCCTCGGCTAGGAGGGGCGGCGCCCTCCTGTTTGGAGGGCTCGGGCGTCGGGCTGCAGCTCTGCCCCCGCAGGCGGAGCACCCGGGCATGAGAACCTACGTCCTGGCCGCAGACACGCCGGAGGACTTGCGCGGCTGGCTGCGCGCGCTGGGTCGGGCCTCCCGCGCGGAGGGGGATGATTGGTGAGTTATGGGCCACGCCTCCGACCCCCCGGAACACCCAATCACTAGTCTTCTAGCCAAGGAGACCCCGCCCTTCAGGCCCCACCATTGGGAGAAATTCAGCTCTTCCAATCAGCAGTCTTTTCCTCTAAGCTCCGCCCACCACTTTGTTCACAGCCCCTTATCAATATTCCACATTCTCTGATTGGCTCCGTCGGAAGTCGACACCCTGAGGTTGCCCGCTACGCAATGTCAGATTTTAAATATTTTTATTTTTATTTTTTTAAATTGTTTGCAAAGAGAGGGAGAGGGAGACAGAGGGAGAAACGTCAATGATGAGAGAGAATCATCTATGGGCTGCCTCCTGCACGCCCCCTGCTGGGGGTGTGCCCTGACCGCGAATCCAAGCGAAGCCGCCTGGCTCCTGGGTGGGCGCTCAACACCGAACGACACCGGCGGGGCCACAACGTCAGATTTTTCAAAAAGGCTTCAGACTGTCTCGGTCCCGGTTTGGCCCAGTTTTCAGGCTGGAGATTCATATCTGGGGCATTGGGTTCAGTGACTTGAATGGACTTTGTGGCCCTGTACAAGTCACTTCCACACTCGGGCCTTAGTTTCCCCACCTGCAAAATGGGGACAATGCTTTATAGTGTTTATAGCGCACTACT